ATAACTCAAAGGAAAGTGTCATTAATTAATATTTTATCAAATTAAATACTCAACAATCCTTTATAAATAGTTAGAATCCACTTCATTAAATCGTGACAAATGTTCTGAGTCAATATCTAAAACACTCTATACAACTCCATTCTTTATTACTGGAATTACTATTTCACTCTATGTTTCATTATCACAAGCTATGTAATTCTAACAAACTTTCACATCCTCTTAGATTTATACTTTTCCCTCTGACCAACATTAACCACATTATCCTTTCCCTTTCTCAATTCTTGGTGTTGCCAATATTGTACTTTAATATGGACCTACTTCTAAATATTTATCTAATATAGAATCTTCTATTTTACCATCAATAACTTCGTAAAATCCAACAAAAAATAAACCACTAACATTGTTTTTCAGTAAACTGACAATCGAAGTTTCAATTGCATTTCGACCTAAATTTGAATATTTTTTTATAAAATGATCTAGTAATTCAAGAACTTTTTCATATTCTTATTCTTTATTCGGCTGATTCATTTAATATTTATTAATTAAATTTATTATTAAATATTTACTCTTAATTATATTATAAATATCACCAAAAATATATTAATTTGTTAAAATACTCGAATAAACACGAATTATTAAGAATTTAATTCATTATATAAACTTCAAATCAATATCTTATTTGGTTATTATAATAAATTGTATTTTAATGAATACCTTTTCTCCAGTATCAAAAATTTCAAAGCTTATGCCTTTGAATCATCTAAAAAAAGCAATATTAAACGATGAAGAGCCTATGTTTCTTGAGGGAAATAGTAAGGAAATCAAATTTAACGATCTACTTATCGTACTTAATTATCATCCAGAAAAAGAAGTCACCTAAATCAAAAGATAAGTGTTAAAATGTTAAGGGCTCTCAAATATAGGATGGATGAACCCTTGTCTTGACTAAGAAAATGCTTAGAATATATCAAATAAAAAGTCTATTTTAAAAAGAACCGATAATAGAAGATTTTAATGACTTTTTATATATTTTTATATTTTTATTTAACTCATAGTTTTCAAACTGCTATAATAGTTGACAAGGTATCCATCAACACTGTATTAGTTATTTTAATTCCATTTTGCTTTACATAAAATCTTGTGTGCTTAGTTTCTGGCATCAAATTTTTCATTCAATGCCATACTTCTTAATTGTTTCTAATTTATAGAAGTTTTTCTTCTATTTAAGGTTGTTCATTTGATGATGTTATTGAGATTATTTCACCTCTTAACTTATATAATTTTAATTGTTGATTCTCCTTCAGCAAAACTGCCTCTATTCCTTTATTGATAGTCAATTCTTATAACTAATTAAAGTTGCTTTCCTAATCTAGATTATTTGATGATTAAATCAATAATGTACCACTTTTTCTATAGTTTCTACCTTAAAGTTAATCTAAGAAAGGAGTTTTCGATTATTATTATTGATACAACACTATTTCTTCTTCTAACTATTTTTTAATCTCTTCGCTCTCTTTTAATTTATTCTCTAAATTATCAATCTCTTTTCTTGTTAATTCTGATGATTCATTAAATCCTTTTATCTTCTCCAAATGTCTTTATTTTTCATTCTCAAGAACTTATACTCTATCAGCCTTAATTTATAAATCCACAACTCTATAAAGCTTCTTTATTTTTACGCAATGCAACACAATCAGAATATATTTGAGATTTCTCTTATTATAATTTTTGTAAATCTTCTTTCAGTTTCTTTTCAGATTCAATCTTATAAGATATATCTGACAATTAAGACTTTAGTTCCTTTTACCATTGAGCCCATAGAGATGTTTATGCATATGAATGTTAAGTGGGTTTATTTGATAAAAATTCTTCATTTATATTCTATTCATCAAATTGCTGATTAATTTAGCTCAACAAATGGATAATAGACACACATCTATCTCTATAGGATCATGATACAGATTCTCCTTAACATGAAATATATGATTTATATTGATCTAACTCTAACTTATTCAAATCTTACTACAATAATTATTATAAATAGTTTATTAATTCAGAGAACCTTTCATTCTTTCTATTGAAATATCCTACCTAACCTTACCTGCCATAACGCAACTATTTTGACAATTCCTTGCATCTCTATATTAAAGTATTGCAGATAGCAAAATTTTAATTAAATTTAAAATAATATCGGAAAAAATTAGTTTATCCAAATTGTTTTCATGACTTTAAATGATGCTTTACTAAAATATTTTTTAGATATATTATCAATCAATTAAAATCAACACTAATTTTTTGAAGAATATCAGGAGTTTATTGATTAATGATCACTTTAAAATTAAAGATTGAATAACTATATTTATAAAGTATTTGGTTTAGTAAGGATTAAATTGCTGCCTTTTCTTGAATTTCAAGATTAATTTTTCATTTTATACACATTAGATAATAATTTCAACCAAAGTATCAGTAATATATAATTTTAGGTTTTTATTATGTATAAATGCCTGAACCATAATTCAATGAAGCAGGTTGATATTGTTCAATTGGATTGTAATCTTATTACTTTGTAAACAACATTAATAATAAATTTATATTAATTATCAATCATACTTTTTTTATGCTAAATAATAAGCTTCGAATGATTCTCCAGGATTAAAATGAATCGATTTATTTTCTTCTGCAAGTTCCATACTTGCTTGTTAGAAAGTATCAAAAGATTGTCCTAATTTAGAGGCATTTGAAAATGTTCCTAATATATTAATCTAATATTACCAGGAGATTTATTTGGACTTAATCTAGTTCTTATAGTA